AAACGTAACGCTCTTTTAGCTAATTCCAATTATAGTATTTTGTGCTGTTGCGGAAAAACGCAACTATTTCTAATTATTTTTCGAAACGTTTTGCTATTATTGCGCCCGTTGCGGATTTTTCGACACGCCTTTACTAATTTAACTTTTGTATTACTAAGCTAAAGTCGATGGGTTTGCTGACTGCGGAGGAAGATTTTATCATGTGACTTACTTATCTGATTCACTTGCCGTAACATTTGAAACGCGTAACGCGTAATCCATCAATTATCTCTCATGGCCGAGACTATAAGTTTCGATATAATTCTACCCGAATTTCGCCCATCCAGAAATCTTATCCGTAAATGGGATAAGTTAGTCCATCCCCACTTTCACCAGGCTGTTTCTAACTGGGGCAATGTTCGCCACTATTTTGAAATCTCACAATTCAAGTCTTGGGAGGCTGCAAAAGCGAAGTTCATAAGCTCCTTGAAGGTCATAAGTGATGATCTAGAGGTTCCTAAGGATACCAAATGTGATGCAAGGGAACTCATTGAGCGCGCTAAGGTATAATCTGAACAGTAATGAAATAGAAACCATAACCTAGCTAAGCTTTATCAAATTATTTCATTAGGGAAATACTTTTTGGCTGTTTGAGTTTTGGCATGAACAAACTGCACTCCAAGGATCAATGGTATGTTGCATACATCAATTCCTATTAACACACCAGTTATGAGTTCTGAAATGTATTCTTGAAATTATGCAGGAAATTATGAATGTGAAATCAAGTGTTGCTGCAAGTCTAGTTGTCAACGCCAAACTTCAGGATATTCCAGAAGAATTCCAACGTCAAATCAAAAAAAGGAAGAGCTCAAATGAGCAGCCAGTTCTCAGGGAGTCATCTTCTGAATCATCTTCAGAGGCAGCATTAACCAGTCAGCAAAGTAGAAATTATGAAATAGAATCAGTCAGATCAACCTCTATCTCTAATACTAACCCTATTACTATACCTAATACACGTACATCCCAACATGATGTAAGTTATAAATGAATGCTTAAGCTGTTGACAACACTTGTGTTTATATTAATATTGATTGTAATTTTCTAAAACAGCTGATTATAAAAGGCTTAAATGTCACAAAATGTCTGGAAGAGTATCGTAACCAAGTTCTGTCCAAAAAAGATAAATATCTATCTTCATGTGAACGACTGTGAGTAACAAACTATTATTATTATATCTCCATCAATATGTGTCATTAAGACTTATACCAGAATTTTGTCTTTGCTTTTAGTGCACTTAGCATTATTGCTGATTGCACACCAAAATCTGAGTTTATAAAGTTTATGAATCCAACAGAATCCCAGATGAGGAGCCTCATTGAAACCTTGAACATGAAGCCTAGAAATATCCAATCATATTCTTGGTATCCACTAGCTAGTAATATCATACAAGACATTGTTAATCAATACAAAGCTGCAAAAGGCTCTCAGTCCAATCCCACAATTGGTGTACAGACAACATGTTTTCAGTTGTGGCAATACTGTCTTTGTCAGCTATCACAACTCTCAAAACAAGAAGTGAACTTCAACATTCAGAAATATATATTTGAACTTTATTGTTATTTGTAAGCAGATTCCACTTATATATGTACATGATTTCTTGTTCTCCTTAATTATTCTCCTTATTGGTAATATAGCTTTGACATCTTTCAGAACCAGTACAATATCCTAGAAGAAGATCAGACTGAAGAAACATTTGTAATCAACTGCTTGGCTCCAATTCTGAAGATATTTCGTGATTCCTGCCATCACAAGCTGCAATATGGAGACAGCTCTTCTGTAGCCAGCAGGAATAGATGTCTATTGCAGCACGATCCTGATGCAAAATGCTTACAGCATGGCAGTAAATGTGATCTGGTAGTTACATTACAAAACAGCTGCAAAGAAATTTTGATTGGAGAGAACAAAGGGCCACGGGATGCAATACTTATTGCTGATGATGCAGAGAAGGGCTCCCAGACTGTCAAAGACTGCCTGGATGAACTTATCAGGGGTCTCCCAAATGGTGCATGGGAAAAGGATACAAAGCTTCTTTGCTCTTATGGTTTACGCATGACTGGTAATTGTAGCCTTAATATTAAATATGCTAATTGTTATCTGAAAAATGCTAAAGAAATTTGCATTATTTAGGATTTGAGGGGTTTGTACACCAGCTACAACTGCCTGCTTATAATACCTATATTCAGAATGATATTGGACACTTCACAATCCCAAGAAATGTCTCACAAATTCACCACATTGCAAAAATTGTATATGTCATGTTAAGTTTACTGGTAAGAATCACATCACATTTCCTGACCATTCTTGTTGCATTGGCTCATAACGATAATGTTTACACTACCTTAAAACAGGAACAATTGAATGAGCTGAATGCAACCTTACTGAGGATTGAGGAAGCTGCCATGGAAATGCTGTGGTCCTGTAAGGAGCTCAGAACGCCAGAGGTATAAAGAAATATGTTTTAGTGACAGAAAACTGGTGTAGCAGTCTGTATGCCATTATCGGAGAAATCAAGTGATGATATTTGGGTTGAGACTTCCCGTTTGAAATCAATAACGACATTAATTTCTTGAAAATAAGAGAGTAATTAAAAACTTTAAAAAAATACCAAGTGACATCGAATGTTCACTTTGTCTGGTTTTGTTGCAGCACACCCCACATAAAGACGAAGGGCGGATAACGTCTGCATCATGATTCACTTAGAAGTTGATAAAGATTTCTTTCATTGTCAGCATAATAATAACAACGCATATTACTGTAATATTTATATGTAACACTTATTCACTGTCTTTTGTATCCGTTTCAAACCACTATTGTTGTGCAAATCCACGGGCGTGCATAGAGAGGGTGAAACTCATATAGTGGGAAACGAAAAAAACCCGTGCAATGTAGAATATGGAGGGTGTGCATTAATTCCTAATTCCCGAGCTTGGGAAGGGAGGCATTTGGGGAGTCGAATTGAGACCGTTAAATCTTTCTGCATTCTTACACTCGTCAATACAATAAACGAACATTTCGCACTTATCAAGCTTATACGAGTTTGACTCTGAGCTTTGCTCATTCTATTTAACAGAGTTCGAATGAGTGTTAGAATAAGTAATAAAGTTATTCTGTCAAGAAGTATATAATTAATTTTATAGATTATTGTTATTTGCAAAGCCGCTTACGCGGCCTCTGACTGGTGCATACAGAGGAAGCAAAGCTTGCAACATCGCTCCAGGTAAGATTTGAGAATAGAGCCGAAGCCCTTTAATTTTGGGATTGGCTCTTTTTATAGCCGCGGTTGGATTTCCTGAAATCTGTTCACAAAATCCGATATCGAGCTTTCGAAGATTACGACAAGAATTTATAATCCCATTAGTGGATATGTCGGTAATATTACATCCTCTAAGAATAAGTTCTTTCAAAGTAGGACACAATTGAACTAATGTACAAATAGACACATCAGTTATATATTCCCGTTCAGAAATATTAAAATATTGAAATTTGAAACATAATTTGTTATAGAAAGATTACTAATCCCAGAAACACTTTCGTCAAATTCGCGCCTTCCACCCTCGAAAGAAAAGTTGGATGTAAATCTGCAATTTCACATATTCCGTTATCAGTTATATATTCACAGCAATTTCCTTTAGTAATTCCGGGACCACCTATATTATTTTTTGCAGAGTTTTATCACTGATTTCTGGTAATGCTCATGGTGCCTTAATCCATTCTTGTATAATCTGAGGTGTACTAAGTTCGGATGCAATCGTTTCAGTGGAAAATCCATAACAACAGGCTGATTGACGAATAACGTTGGATATGGTGCTTCATCGACAGCAAGGTATGCAAAAATTTCGGTTTCGGGTAAAGCAAGTGGATGGTGTTTATTACGCGACATTTTATTGCTAATAATAAAAGTTGTTATTTTGGCAGAAAATTGGTTAATATTTATGTTTGAGGCACGCTGGTGCCTTTGCTCTGCAATAAAGAATAATAACCCTTTCTACTAATGTATGGCGGATGTAGGGTAGAAGATTACAGGTATACGGGATTTCAATAAAATCTATACCGGTTTGTTCGCATCTCGATTCTTGCGACGGTAATGTAACCATTAAATTCTCATGCTATTGTAATTCTTCGCTTCGTTATATCGCGTATCGCATATGGTATACTAATTTATGGAAAAAGGCGTCATATGTGGATGAGTTCGATTACACGCTTGGTAAAGTAGCCAGCGCATATAGAATTTTTTATCTCATCGCCCACTATGACACCATTATTGGCAAACTCTTTATTAGCTTTTCCCATAACCTGTCAACGGGATCGCTTACCAAAGCTTGACCAATTACCATGAAAGAACTCGCATACGTTACCTATCTTTTGGTGTAATATGCAGACCATTGATATTAAGTGTTCATTTAGTAATGCGCCATGACTTACCAATATGGCTAATAAGTAAACCTCCTGCTCTTTTTTGAACAAAGACTCTTTCACTATACGATAAGTTACACATCATTCAAGCTTTCAATGGTCATTATATAGTTTCCAATTCTGTCCATACAAGAATGGGTTTTCTATTTCGTCGTGCAACCAAGAAATGATCATTATTATTATTACCACGGATAGAATGTCCTACAACGAGGAATACTTACATTGAATATCGAGTATCCCTTGCCTTGTATTTCGAATTGAAAGTAAGGCTCGATTTAAGCAGCACATGCGGTGATGATTGTCATTATATGCATACAATGGCAGAGGCGAATTGTCATTACCTGCTGTATTACGGCAAACAAGCATATCAGTGTATATTGTATATATTGTACTGTATATGTACGCTTTCTTTGACAAGAACACATTTGGCCAGCACTCGCCTCACAATGTCGGTGGCTGATGGATAAAGCAAGCCGTCCACCTCTTTACACCCCGCTTGTTTGTAATAGTAATCACAAATTAAATTAATTGGTCATGAATGAGTTTTAAACAATTTAATTACGAAATGCCAAACCCCCCTATGCATGTCATTTATGCCATCAAAGCTGAGTTGTCTTGCAATTACAATTTCTCTGGATCAAATGATTCTGTTGTGTTGCAATCGACGTTGCTCATCTCGCAGATTAGATCGCGCAGTTTGGATTGCACGATACCGAGGACGTGCTTTGTAATTATAATAAAAACAACAAATAAGATCAAAACTCGGGTTATCGTCCGGTGACACGATCGTTCGATGTTGTACCATGACAGTGACCATATTATCATTGGTGTCAGCTGTGTAGTGATACCAAGTGCTAAATACGCTTATTCTGTACGAATCTTACTGTTATTATTAAAACATTGTTACTATCTATTATTATAACGAATTTCTACTTTTGTGATCTTTATTCCGAAAGCTCTGTGACTGCAGCATGCAACCACCATTGGTCGAGCATAAATGGAATTTTTCCGGACAATGTATTTATTTCTACTGCGCTAAAGCCAGATAAAGCTCGTTTTTGACAAATGCGTCTGTAATGCAATTTTGACTTTTATTATTTATATTATGCACTACTACATACTAACACTAATACAGCTGCTACAACTACGCAGTTTGCGGATGTCACTTTTCCGGTTACTTTGATAAAATAAGTCTGCTTTTTTGTCTCTTTGTTTTGTAGACGCAGGCCTCTTTTCTCCCTCCCAAAGTAAGGGCAATCTTTTAAATCTTGTTTTGTCAATATGTTACTCCGTTAGGAAGGGGGGACTCGTGTTTCGAATTTAATATATAAATATTAATTTTATTTTTGGTATTTAGGTTTATTATCAGTCATTCCTTACACACATTACGATTACGATAGAAAAAAAAAACTATTCCACTTTTACTACTACCCACTAGCTCAATACCCTCCTCGTTCCTTTCCTCTCCCTCCTCTTTGCCTCTCCTCTCTCTCCGTTTACACAGATCTTGGCACCATGGCAGACACTACTTGGATTTCGTTTATCGTTGGTATTCTGGTATCCGTAATTGCTAGTATAATGAACGCTGCCGGCCTGAACTTGCTAAACCTAGACCACACAAGAAACTCTCAACAACCGGCGGAGCATCAACGTAATGAATGCGGTCGTCCTTTGTGGCATGTCGGCTTATACTTTTACGTCCTCAGTCAGCTGTTTGGAAGCACGATTGCACTATGTAAGATTGTCAAAAGGCTTGATACCATTTACAATAAACACCAAATACTAATCTCAATCCAACTTGTCTTTAGACTTTTTGAAAGCGCAATGGGTCGCTCCGCTCGGGTCGGTTGCACTCATTTTCAACTTTGTATTTGCACGAGTGCTGGTCGGCACGCGCATTACAAAGCAGGATATCATTGGCACTGTTGTCGTTATAATCAGCGTAGTATGGATCGTAGTGTTTGGTGGACAGGGCTCGGACGATTCCGGTAAGCATGCGCTTCCCTAACATTTTTACTCTTGACTTTTCTTCTCCAAGATGTCTCACGATAATTTTACAATCCTCTTTGTCTTTAGAGGAAGACCTTACGCTCGACAAGTTGAAAGGTCTTTTCACTCGATCTCTCTTTGTTGCATATTTTTCCGTACTAGAGATAATCACGATTACATGGCTTGGTCTCGCTCTTTATGGCTACTACATCGTAAAGGATGACCGGCGTAAGCGACATCACACCTTCTTTAATGGAATACATACCATGCGATTGAAGAAATTTGTAGGCATGACGATGGCTGGAGTGGGTGGGCTGATAGCCAGTCAGACTTTGCTGTTAGCAAAGAGCGGGTAATTAAACCGGGTTTTTTCTGATTCAGTTTATCTATATATTACTACTCGTACTGACCAACTGCACTGAATTTTCTACAGAGTAAAACTCTTTTACAATTCTTTGACGATTGAGAATCAGTTCACTGATAGTTTGAGTTGGTTTATCATCATCGGACTGGTGGTCACCGCTGTCCTTCAGGTTGGTAACAAGATAATGGCTTCGTTGAATAGAATAAATACTATTGCCATATCTCTAAATCCGCACTCTCTTCTCCTTGTTGCAGATATATTGTCTTAATACTGCATTAAAGTTGCACGATTCTGTGTTGGTTGTCCCCATCTTTTTCGGTTTCTATACTGCAATGGGACTGATAAATTCGATGATCTATCTCGACGAATTATCCAAAACCCCAGCCTGGGCAATATTTGTAGTCATGCTTGGTATTGGCACGTTGATATACGGTGTATTATTGCTGAGTGAGGCCAAAGAAGATCCAAAGGATGTTGAAGAACCAGAAGTTACCAAAGACGGCATTCCTCTGAGTCCTGTATTGTGGGATTCGGCTGATAGAAGGACAGGAGAATCCAACGTAGATTCAAATGAGGACAATAATGATAATAGTAATAATAATAACAACAATAATAATTCGCCGTATCCCATCTCAAACCGCAATTCAACTGCACGGAAGCGAAAGAATGACAGCACGGTGATTGAGAGAGACAGTCTACCACCATTTACACCAGATATCATCATTGACAATCAGATTCCTGATAATAATCATTCCTCATATACGAGTAGATTTAACAATATGTCATCAGATGATCTGAGCATTATGACACTGGACGACGACGATGATGGATATTCGATAGCTGAAGCTCGAAGTTATGAAGATCTTCTCAGTGCAAAGTATAGAAGTAACTCGTAGTTCAAATTAAGATAACAAACAAAAGACTTTTGGAACTCGGTTATTTTGTAGATGGGTCAGACTGTGATCCTTTAATAGAGAACACTTTACCTTCCCTACATGTTATCAGTGTATTTCTAGTTTTTTTTGTAATTACTATACATGCTGTGCAAACTTTTACTTACTAAATAAAATTAATAATATTCGGATTAAATAGTTTCCAAGAATGTGAAAAGATAAACCCCACATGGATTTCGATGTTGCGCAACGCGACGCGGAATTTTATATTGAGTCGAAATTATCGTCTCTTTACTAAAGATGCGTATAGAACAATCAACAGAGAGAATTTATATCACATGGCAGCTTTATAATCAAGTCTAGACAAGTGCCGTTTTATTCTGAACACCAATCCGATATCAACGGAGCCAACAGATATATACCGAAAGGGTTATTTGTATTTGGGCCCTGATGTTTCATAGTCCGAATTATCGCAAAAGGTTGCAGATTCGTATTATGCCAATTAAAATGTAATCGACAAAAGTTGAACCTAATATAAAGTACCACTTGTATAAATTTCTTCTAGTTCATTATAGATCATTGACAGAACACGGATATGCGACTCGGAATAGAATTCTTCGGCGTAAAGACGTAGATGCGGATAATAATAATTGCTTAAAAATGTAAGATATCTCAAATAAAGTTAGATTGCGCAATCAAAGTTCTACAATATTAGTCGTATAACCTGAATTACTAAAATTAAAATTAGCTCAAAGTTCGTCTCCCACTTTTAAATGTGTGAATATTTTGACCGCATTATTTCAGAACGCTTAAAATGGTCTCAGCAACACGGGTTTGGAATGATGGAACATAACTCTGGGTCACATTATGTCAGCAATGTTTTGATGTAAACATTCCGTGAGAAATATGCACGTAATATGAATGAGAACCTATTTCTAAAAAACGTGGAAATCTTCCTCTGAATATCGGACCTTTTACTGTAGTCAGTAAAGTCATGACCTTCGGGAATCACGCGTTTGAATGCATGCAGGCGGTTAATGTAACACTTATTATAAAGCCAGTGTTCTGTCACGTGTCTAGACGAACGATAATCTACCGTTGCTTTACATCCTCTTGCATTGAGGTACTGTTGTGCGATTCTATATTATTGTTGATAACAAATTCCACAATATTCGTTAATTTATACGCCTATAAAATAAATATATGTATTACCCGGGGGGTACTCGTATCATTGGTTTACAAACTCTCGCTTTCCCGTCGCTTACAAGAGTGGTTTAATGTTGCACAATTTTTCAACTCAATATTAGTAGCAGCAAAATCATATAAAAGGAATCGAATGAATAGACAAATACAGGACGACTTAATGCAGACAAAATACGTAATTTTGTTCTTCGGAATGTGAGATTTACCCATACATCGACTTATTAAAGCCAGTCTTAGCTTTACTCATTTTTTCGAATGAATTAGTTTATACGAGGACGGAATGTCTAGCTGGATCAGTAATGTTTGGTTCTTTGTACGTTTATTTACTTCTTTATATACGTATCTCGATTACCCTGTTGTTTTTTAAAAGAAAAAGCTGTTTATTGTCCTGGTGCCTGTCCATATTACCCCACTAAGCTTGAAGAAACACATATCGGTATTAACGATAAAGTAACAAGAAACCGTCTGTATACTCGATGCGAAAGTGACATAGGACGTTATAATCTGTATACAATCTTTCGAAACGACACTTTTAACAGTTATAGTCACACTATTGCTATAACATTGTCTTTTTCTGACGGCTGTCAAATCATGTTAAAAACAGATGAGTTTAAAGATCAATTACGGCGAGTTCTATTAAACTGCGCATTACTCTTACTTACGCTTGATTCCTTTTTCTCCGACTCTTCCTCAAAGTCATCATCTTCATCATCTTCATCATCATCATCTTCTTCATCATCATCATCTTCATCATCGTCACCTTCATCGTCGTCATCATCGTCATCGTCATCTTCATCATCGTCATCGTCATCATCTTCATCATCATCACCTTCTTCTTCACCATCATCCTCTAGTTCTTTTCACGATAAATGAGATTCCAATGTCAAACCGTATTTACGACAGGTCTTATATCCATAGTTTATCTTACCATCTCCATAGACATCAGGATGCTGACGAAAACAACTTTGCATCTCTTTAAATTGCTCCAGACAGTCCACCCCTTTGGGCTCAGCAGTCGAAAATATAAAGCACGAGAATGCAGCTTTAAATTGCTCTCCACATGGTCCTTTAGCCATTCCACCTAAACAGGGACTGAGCGAGAGACGTCACATAACAGTGAACGGAAAGTCAAGTTAGTCGGGAAGTGATCGTAATTGCACGAACAAAAAAAAACACCAATTGCAATATTTGCCAGTCCCAATTTATTTCTCCCGTTTCCGGATCGAATGCTCCTTTCGAGTCTTCTTCCGACTGTATCTGATCTGTTGGTGCAGCAGGCTCATTAGACGCTGTCGGTAGATCTTTAGATGATTCAGTTGATGGTGTTGTTGTTGTTGTTGTTGTTGTAGAGTCTATTGTTGACATTTTTAAATATGCGACAATAAAATCGATTGATAAATTTTTTTTGTTTTTGCAAAAAAAGTTACGTTATACCAAATGGGTTGTTATTACGTAATATCGACATGTTTATTATTATCATATGCACTTGCTATATCGATATTATATCATCGATTGCCCGTTTTGGTTACTCTGGAACTGGTTACAAAACTCCCTTTTAACTAAATAAAGACCACTCTCTTAATACTGTAATTATCTAGCCACCAGGTCGACAACAACTCTGTCATAACATTATTCCTAACATGAAGTCCGAGTGTAAGAATAAATCGGCTTCTGGTCCTTCCCCTGATGACATTTTAAAGTCTTCTGCAAAGGGCGCGTATTATCTCGTCTTGCTACAACTACTCAGTAGACTTTTAACTTTTGCTTTGCATCAGGTTATCCTCCGATATACAAACCCAAGGACATTCGGGATAGCTGCCGTTCAGCTGGAATTGCTCTTGGCTACTATCCTATTCCTTTCTCGCGAGGGCTTTCGGTGTGCGCTACTCAGAGATGCAACGGTTCGAGAAAGTAATGACAAAAAGTCAGAGAAAGCAGCACGACAAGATCGTATATACGCCAACACTAGCAAAGGCGTGATACAGAAAATTACCAATCTCTCTTATGTCTCAATTCCTTTTGGGGTCGTGTTGAGTGTTCTCGCATGTGTATTTTATCTGTATTTTGCGACAGAGGAGGCGATTGAGGCACCGTATTATACAACTTCCGTGATTTTATATGGATTGTCAGCCCTTGGAGAGTTGCTCATTGAGCCGTTATATATTGCTGCTACTAATAATCTCATGTTCACTGTCCGAGTGCGATGCGAAGGTGTAGGCGTAGTTGTGAGGTGTATTATTACCTTGTTGTTGACGTTAATGGGCGCTCCTGCAGATGGAAAGGGGGAAAATAAATATGGCGTCTTGGCGTTTGCTGTTGCTCAATTTGCTTATACTTTGGTGTTGGTGTTTGGATACATTGAACATTTTGTAAATCATTGGGATATGAAGACTTTGAAACCAAGACGGCTTGTGTACACTATAAACAATAGGTAATTAATGTTTGGAGACTGGTTATAATTCAGCAAGAGAATAGCATTTACAGTACGTATGGATGGCATGTACCATAACTCAAGTTGTTTTATTTTCCATGATAGAGAATATCAAAAATGGTTTGATGACCATCTGCTTAGCTTGGCGACAACCTTTACAAAACAATCTCTGTTAAAACATATTCTAACCGAAGGCGACAAAATGCTAATAACATGGCTATGTACTGCCGAGGATCAGGGTGTCTATGCATTTGTGGTCAATTACGGTAGGTAGGCAAGGTTCCAATGGGTCGCCAAAAAGTCTCCAATATTAAGTTTCGTTACGTCACGTGACTTAATGGCAAGATACCGCGCGACGTTCGCGATCCTGTTTACATGAATCAAGCATAAAAACAGCGTGTTAGGTAGAGGTTTAGCTTAAAATCAACTTAATTCTCTAAAACAACGAAAAATGAGAATTAAGGTGGTGCAATAATTTATTGCCGTAAGGTGGTGACAGTTATCGGATTAACTTGACCGATGTGTTAAAAAGGCATGGCAAGACATACTATCGAAAATTTGGTTGATAGCATGCCACAACGAATTCAAGCCGTGCTCGATGCAAATGGAAGTACTGATCACTTAGTACGAAATATAGATCAGACCCTGTTTAAATAAAAAGTTTAAATTTTTTAAGCTTTAAGTATTAAAAATTTTAAGTTTAATATTGAGCCAAAAATCGTTCGGAGACTATTGGCGACCCTCTGTAGATTACAATTGATAAGAGCGCGTTAACAACAATTTCTGCTGTGTCATATAGGCTGTTTGATTGTCCGCATACTTTTTCAACCGCTCGAGGAGACGGGTCGCACTCTCTTTTCCAAACTATTGGCAGGCGTTGATAGACCGGAAGAAAACGAGGTCGACAAATCAAAAGACGCTGCGGTCAGTGATATCGGTGAATCTTCGCGAGAGCAGCTATTGACAGCAGCAAAGATCTTGGCAACTACGATAAAGCTTCATCTGCTTCTAGGTCTATTGTTCATTGCTTTTGGAACAAATTATACGGGTGCATTTATTGATCTGCTTGTTGGAGCTCGATGGTCAATTGAGTCGCCTGCACCACTGGTGCTGTCTTTTTATTGCCTATATGTTCCAGTCATGGGTGTGAACGGAATTACGGAAGCATTCGTAGCTGCCGTGGCCTCAGAGGAAATTCTTGGGTCTTTAAACTATTGGTTGATGGTATTTTCTGCAGGATTTTGTCTCGCTGGCGTATTATTCGTGCGTGTACTTTCGCTCGGAGCGATTGGCCTTGTTGCAGCAAATATATTTAATTTGTCAATGCGTATTCTTTGGAGCTGGGGATTTATTCGCAAGTATTTCTTAAAAAATCGCAGTGGGAATGTACTTTCGGAGTTGGAACGTCAGCTGTCACTGAAGAATCTAATACCGAGCCCAGCAGTTGTGACGGCTTTTGCTCTTGGGTGGGCGGTCACTTATTGGTCAGATCAGGAAATTGGATGGATGTCTTTAAATGCCAAGATTTGGCATTTTGGGCTTGGCTGTGTTTGCGCGCTCATCGTGCTTGGTGTGACGTAGGTGTTCACAATGCGTGGTTAATTCAGTTTCCTTACGATAGTTAGATTCTTATAATGCTCTACATTTGTAGGTCTTGGTATGAAAGACCGTTTATCAACGAGGCATACCGACTTATTAAGGGGCGGAAACAGGACTGATTTGTTGTCAATAGAGGCAAATTGAAAACTCGCGCTAGAATTTGACGGCACTGTATTACGCAATGGGTTATTGTAAATTTCATGAGAATTGACGTTCGATTGTTGGCATAATCGAATCTGGAGTAGAAGCTATCTTTGTGAAGAAGGTTAAATTTGGCGTCCTTTGGCAAGGATATTTTTTGCAAGCGCAAACATTTAGGCAAACCGTTTAACTCTTGGGGAAGGGGACAATTGTCGTCCAACTACCAATTGTTTATATGAAATGCATCCTTGCATATGTTATGAACGATAAGACATAAATGGGTCTCGTCTCGGATGTGACATACTTTTTGTACTGTGCAGTCGTTCGCGATGAGACGCGTTCCCTCATTTGCACCTCCTTGTTATTTGGAGATCGTGCTGTTTGAATATGCTGGACTAGTTTACAGTTTGAAGGATGTTGTGAAACAAACGTTGCGTTGATGAGAGTAAATGCGCAACGGTCAAAACCATGTTTACAACCTATGTTATTGTTTATGAGTAACTGGTTTGCAATTAAATATCGGTAAACATATCAAAGTATTGATTACATTGATTATACGACGACTGATGTTATTTGCAAGTTATATAATAACGTTTATTTATATATCATGAAACATGGGTATACATAATGACAAAAGCCAGAGTGTGAGCTATGCGAATTTCTATAGATATTTATGCTCCTTCTATTATGATTACATCCAATACCAGTTTTGCATTATTGGCCTTATGGCGAACAATTGCTCCAATTGAATTTCCCTCTTCCTCCATATGAAACGTAATTGTAGAATTCAAGACCTCGGGTGTTGCGTTATCTTGAATCAAGTTGACTAGCCTTTTTAAGGTTCTTTGTAGTGTTTTATCACCGCTGCTGTCATTTCCATATAATCTGAATAGGCAGTGGAAAAGTCTCTACACAGAGGACCACAAAAAGGCCTGCCTGTTATCCTTCCCAAATCCAGTAACAATCGCCGAGATAACAGCACGCTTGCCTAGCTCGTAGTACGTGAGGTCAAGAGCCACTCGTCCCCCGCCCATACTACCGCACAAGGTGCAGTGGTTGGTGTATAAGGTGCTCGAGGTCGTTGTTATTATTATCGCTGTGATGTTATGCGGGAAGCGGAAGTTCAGCGAATGACTGGTGGAGAGGAAAAGAGCTCCCGCAAGTAGGGATGCTCTCCGATTTCTTGGCGGCTACTGTTGTTTTCGTCGGCGAGCATGCCTATTTATACAGGTGCATTGCCATTTCTGTCCCTATTAGCTGAGCTGTCGCCGAATGAAACAACGGTGTATTTAACGCCCGTCCAGTGGACCATGATATCTGAAACATTGCCGTGGAAAGAAGGCGACGGCTAGCGTTTCTGAAGGACATTTGAGAAGTGATTTATGAAAGTGGCTTCTGCGTCCCCATAATTGTTGCAAAGGTCACGATGTCGGCATACTTCTTCCAGTGGACATGATATCTGAAACATTGCCGTGGAAAGAAAGCGACGGCTAACGTTTCTGAAGGACATTTTGAGTGATTTATGAACGTGGCTTCTGCGTCCCCATAATTGTTGCAAAGGTCACGATATCGGCATACTTCTTCCAGTGGACCATGATATCTGAAACATTGTTGTGGAAAGATATTTGAGAAGTGATGAAATGAAAGTGGTGAGAAATTTATAACGGGAAATTCGAAATCTTTAAGGGGGCAAGTCTTTTGTACGGATAATGTGGAAGTAACACAAACACGCTCATGTGTTATTTTAAACATGTGATTATTTGGTATTCAATTTCCATATTTGGTATTTACAACGTTAAAACTGTTCAGATTTTCACATTCCTGCTTTTTGGGACACCTTGCCAACACGCAATGCCAAACGAACTAACACGCCCGATAATCGTTCCTTTGACGACAGTCCAGGCAGACTGGACCGAAGTAGTCTCTGACGTTGTTCGAGGAGTAATTGCTTCAGGCTCCTTCTGGGTATCATGTTACCGGAAAGGTTCGAACACAAGAATTATTGCCAGTCAATTTAGTCAGTCATTGTAAAGCCTATATCTATATTTAGTGCGTTAATGTAGGGAGACCATCTGTTCACGGTTCTGTAACTATCAGAAAGAGCCAAGAGGATCCGATGGCAGTTGATTTTATTGGTAATGATGGCTTAGAAGTAGCGAGAGTGACTAATGTGAGCGATATGATTTGGAATTGTGGGTGCTTTTTCCAATCTGTGGGCTTTTTTATATAACATACTTTTAATGTCAATATTTGCGAACGATAAGTATTCGTTTGCAATAACTTGCGAGCAACTTGGCATTAATGGATCCATTGTCAAGGGTCCTAAAGCAACCAAGAAAATACACGATTCATCAGTATGTTGGAATAGATTCGGTCATTTTACAATTTTGACAAGTTTTGTGGTTTATTACTACGAATGTTCATTCTTGTCGTACCATTCTAGGTTACTGCAATGGATATATCACCTGGTGGAGCATTATTTGTTACTGGGGATGAGAAGGGCTTAATTAAAGTCGGTGATGCGAAATCTGGAACAACCAGGGTGTGTATTAAATTTGCCTCATATAATGAATTGAGTCTTCCACCTATACTCAATATACTGTTAATCTCATAGCGCGAATTGATTGGCCACATGGCTGGTATTGGCACCTGTAGATTCTTTCCATCAGGACAAGGTAATAGCGATCACTCCCGATTATTCTTGTACTAAGCTATACCGAAATTGTGCAAAGACCTATCTATATTAATGTATGTCATATCAATGAGCATAGTGGTATTGAGCGGCTCATCAGATTTTCAACTAAGGATCTGGTCCGTTCTTGATGGTAGTAATCCAGTCACTCTCCAAGCACATACAAAAGGAATTACCGATTCTGCTGTAATAGATCGAGGAAGAAATGTTCTCTGTAAGCTTTCGCTATTTATCTATGCTACTTTAGATACTCACATGTCCTTCATTCTTATAATGTCTTGCATATATTACTCACTCGCAGCTTCATCTAGAGATGGAACAATTCGACTGTGGGAATGTGGTGATTAATCCATTATTATTCATGCTCACAAGTGGCGAGCTTAGTACCAATAGAAACAGTCACAAGAATGTTTGATTTGCTTTATTGCGAATAAAGGATCGGCCAGTGTTATCCGGACGCTTGGAAACTATAACGCGGCAGTAAACAAGATTGCACTAGGAAGTGTTGCCAATGACATCAGGAACTGGAAAAATGAGGAAGTTGATATTGGTAATGTATCTGAACAAATGAGGCAGCTATCAGAATACGATGTGGCAGTGTATCATTTAAAAGTTGGATTGTGACACTTGTTCATTATTTCTGGCTTGTCTTTTTTATAGATTCACGCGAAGTTGCAACTGATGATAAAATCGTTTGCTGTGCACTCGAAAGTGGCACATTTTCCGCTATTGATCTGAGAAGTAAAAATGAAGTATGAGCGAGCGGAATACAATGACATTACGTATACTTTTAACGTGTATAACTAAGTCAAATTTAATTGCTTGGATAGGCATTTTCTATGAATTCCTACCGCAATACGGCACTATATGCTTGCACATTTGATGGTCGATATGCAGCTGTCAGTGGGTCAGCAGAGGGCGTTATAGAACTATACGATATCAGAAACCCAAGGTACATATTAAGAGATATAACTAACAGATATAAAGTACACAATCGTGCCAACATTACATCCTGCTACATGATCTTCTTTGTAGTATAAGCACGTTCGCCATTCAACGAAATGATGCACCTATATATGACATTAGCTTCATCAACAACAAGTCCAGTATCCTTGTTGCACCAGGTTAGGCTTTCTCGTTTTTCTTGGGTTTTATTCGTCCTTGTGTAAATCTCATTCCCTCTATTTATGTCAATAGGCGATGGAGCAGCATTCCAATTTGCGCTTGATTCCCTTCCAACAATGTCAAGCGCAGCACACGAATTTGTTGGATTCGATGTCGATCCTATATACTCTATTCGAACTGTAGATAATGGGCAATTAATTTATGCTGTTGGAAGAGATGGATGTCTAAGAAGATTCTGAGGGTACTCATACGAACTTATGAACCATTGCTATTTGGATAAGTTCAATGTTAGACTGCCTCACTTTCATAAGCTACAATAAAATAGTACACGAATAATTCGGAATTGTGCGAAAGTATTGCTGCAACATCGAGCATTAGGCGCATTCGCAGGGTACGTTAACATCGTTCGATTCATGAAAAGATGAGAAATATACCATTCACATAGTCTCTTGCAAATGTAACACAAATATCGTGTATGTGCAAAAGTCAAATTTACGGGTAATAAATGCACCTTCAGAGCTTGACCGTTCTGCCAAGAAAGAAAAGGGGTGGAAAAATTATAGAATTGAAGGACGTTACGAACTTAGCTTGTTCTGTCCCTGCGGACCAAGTGGGCGCGTTTTTCAATCCTCCTCTTTATGATCAGGACTAAATTCGATATACAATACTTGAACATATCACCATTGATGTTGAAAACGTTCGTTCCGGCTTATTTCTCTTCTTCTACTAACATGCATTTTTTTAAACTGTGAGACAGATTCTATGAGACGAATAACTTCATAACGATACACTCAAATATGTCTCAAGGTTAATCATCTAACAACACATAAGGAGTGGCTAGCTAATATTAGCTTCTGGTTCATTGCAGCTATTGCAGAACCAATTCCATATTTAGTTTTCTTAGCATGACTCTATCATGGTTTCTTGCAAGAAATGCACCTGAAACACTCCAATTAATATCTGTGTTAATTGACATTGGTTATCTATCTACATCCTTTTTCCCGCTCCAGTCAAATCAGAACGAAAAATAAAAATCAATAAATGAGCATTAACACCAGCTTATGATGAACCAAGAAAGAAACGAAAAATAGAAGAAAAATAAAGTAATAACTAGGGTTTTAACGCGAATAAAAGTTTAAATTACTTATTTTGATAGCATTGATTTAATGTGTTTGGCATCCAAAATACTAGAACTGTTATTCCTGATGTTATTAAGATTTCTGGAATTAATCATAGGGAGATATTTTATTTGAGTTGCTTTCTTTCTCTTTTTCTAATTGTTGCTGAGTTTGGTTGAGCTGTTGCTCAGCTTGGGCTAACTTTTCTTTTACCTGAATTAATTCTTGGTTTTTATTTTGTTTATTTCGGACTTTGAAGGATTGTTTAGTTTTTCAGCCATTTGTTCATTTTCCATAGTACCAACTTGCTGGTTGTTTCCCTCATTTGGCAATCATCACCTTTCCATTTTGCATTTAGGAAAGAAAGTAATGAGCTTGTTGCTGTGAAACTTCTCCTTTTTCTTGCTCTATAAGTTTACTTGCTTGTCCTAAGTTACAACTAATAAAAAAGTTATCTTAGTTTCATACTTTTTCATTACGGCAGTCAAGCAAAACCCCTGATCAATGTTAATTTTAGAGGCGTCGGTGTCAGATTTTAAAGTGTCAGCTAACTTAGAACATTATTGGTTCTTCATAGAAATTACGATTATTTAATTAATTATTATTAGCTCCGTTTCCCGGGGGATGTTATCAGGTTTAGCTCGTACTATCGCCCTTACTACAATAGTTGTACAATTAAGACTGAATTAAGCCTAATACTAAGCGATATATTTTTAATTATGCGCGCTTCTCACTCCCTATCCGAGTTTCAAATACTCGTGAATACAAATAAGGGTACCTCTAATAAAATAATAACAACTATTATTCTACTAAAGAATCGAAGGGGAATAATACTATTTTAAATTTAAACAGGGCTATCTTCGATTTGTGTTTCGACTAGTCGGTATCCGTCACTTGTCTTTCTAAACTAATTAAACAATAATCGTCTCGATAATTAATTATGAACTCTCGTTCCGTTATTCACGTAATTGATCCACGGACAGCTTACTAGCTTAATCAAATAAATACTATTCCGTTACAGCTTAAGTGAGCCGTTTATCAATTATTTCGACGATAGAAATAAAATGTATATTTATAATAAAGGACTGCGGGAGAATACTACTAAGATCAGTAATATTTTATTTATTTGTAACAACATCTAACATGAAGATTTGGCGATGGAATATGAGCTACTTATATACTGTATCTTCGAGCGTCGCAGAAAAAGCACAACGCACTTTTAACTATTTCTAGAAGAACAATTAAATATAGATTAATTATAGTGTTTTGTGTTGTCGCAGATTTTTCGCAACATTTTGTTTCCTAATGCATCGTGGCGATTTTTCGAAACGCTGTTACTAAATTAATGCTTTTTGTGAAACTGAACTAAAATTAGCGTGTTGTTTGACTGCGGGGGAAGATTTTATCATGTGACTCACTTATCAGAGTTCAAAGGTGGCCTAAGTCACTCAAGAGTTAAAGGACATTAGCAATATAAAAGTCAGTGCCCAGTTATTGAAGATCTGCCAAACGGGGATTTGTTCTTGCGGAAGGCAGCATTTTATTAGTGGGTATTCCATCTCGCTATATCCTATTCTAACAAGATCGGATTTGGTGACGGTCAATCTAAACGCGTGAAACTCAAAGGAATTGACAGGGACTCGCACAAGCAGGAGAATGCGTAATTGTTGTAGCTGAGTTTAACGTATGTAAAAAGATGTAATCACCATCAAACTCACCACTGTCAACAGAGACAACAATCAATCAGACTCACCACTGAAGAACGAATAGTAAATAATACATGGTCTAAATTCAATCTTGATTTCGGCGTTTACACAGCCTACATGAAAACTCAGGGCATTAAGCTCGGTGATGATTTTCTACCAACAGAAATCAAGGTGTAAAGATATATTCTCAAGGCTCTCTTATCTTCATTGTGATGTCAGATTACCCATTATAGTTTATGATAAGGACTCCGGCAATTCCTTATTGATTTTGAACATGTAGTAGTAATGAAAATCATGTCCGCAATCGAAGAAACCTCTCAGATATCGAAGGTTGCAGCAACACATTGGTTAACGGTATTTACACACAGAAATCAGGAAATGTATCAGTTCTGGAAATTGTTTTCATGAGAACTTGCGACAATTGACTTTGTAATAATTGACCGCAGTAAGAGCACTACATAATGTAAATTCTCTATCCATTCATTAATAGTAAACCCCCCTTTATATTAATGGGTTGTAACCGAGTTCTTAATTACGAATAATAATAATCTCCCAATGGATAATACAATGCTACCTTAATCTCATGGTAAAATCACAAGACCTACTTTTTTTTGCTATCTGACTCGGCATTGTCATTATGTTCCCTTTTTTCGTTTTCGCTTGAAACTTGCCTGTTCATGTGATACTAAGAGAGAACGACACCTTGTCAATAAACACCATAAATACGACGACCTTAGAATACTAAGCTCCCACCTTATACATACCAAACTAGTAGCAGATACAATGTCCCTGAGGATACACGTTTGTGCATCTTCCATTTTCTTTTGGAGTGTTGGACGACCAATTATCCGTGCTGCACTCTTTACTTCGCGACAGGTCTCATGTAACCGAGTAATACATCGCACGATAGAACCCTCGGCTACGTTTGTCTTTTGCATAATATCTACAAAATGCTAATTGAGATTTGCATATTTAATACAAACGTTAGACCTGTGGTATAACATCCCGCTTTTATCTAAATTTCATACCGACTGCTTCGCCCATTTGTAGACAACGTTCACGAGTTTGAAATTAAGGTTTTCCGCATGTTGTTCCATACTGGGAGTCTTCAAGAGCGGTTCTAAACCCAAATCTTTTTGTATTTTGTCCATAAACTTCGCAATACGCTTTATAATCTTTTTTCCCTATTTGAAAAGCTTGAATCATAAATAACAATTTGTATCTGTATGCCATTTTGAAATTGGATGGATACATAAATACCTTTTGCAATTTAGGTATTATTATTCGTTCGCCATCCTCGTAATCATCCTCGTCATCATCATCCTCATCCTCATCCTCGTCATCATCCTCGCTATCATCCTTATCATTATCCTTATCATTATCCACACCTGGGTCTTCCTCATCGTGATCCCTCTTGATGTATACCACTTTTTCGTGAGTGTTATTATGTTTACCCTTGAAATTTTGATCAACAATTGCCCCATTATCATGCTTCTTCTTCTTCTTCTCCTGAAAGATAAAGCATGACAACAAGGCAACAATCTCTTCGGCATCAAAATCTGCAAACTTATTCTTAAAAATCAACTCAGTCACCACCAGCGCGTCAGCCGAATTTATCTTTCAATGCAAGACATCGTGATTAAAATCTGTTCGGATTAGGGAAAATCCAGGAAATCATGCAAAATTACCTCAGTCGCAAAGCGTCCCTTTTGCGTCAGCGTATCATTGCTATCAATGAAATCGAGTTTTTTAAGTATCTTTTTTCTAACATCATATTCCTCTTTCTGTTCGAAATCAGGGTTAGAGGTTATCCAACGCATATACTCTACGTTCGATTTCGCCTTAGATTCCTTGTGAAAAATTCCATACTGAACTCGTAAATAGTAAATATGTTTAGTTAGATCGTAGAAGTAAGTGCGCAATGAAATAGATGGCGTCCAAACTTGAGTTTATTGGATATCTTACGTGTTCTTTAAACTCAGGACATTTTGTGCACTGCAACTGTGCAATGCGCTTTGTAAGCAAATTCTTTTCCGCGACAGCAAGTTTGAAATCATAATCCCGCAACTTTGACCAATCGTGTTCTATAATGCCGACTATTATGAACATATAATTGAAACACTGTCACATAGCTGGAATATAACAGTACACATCATTGATAAAGATTATGTTTTACCTGCTTGAGCTTCATTCGCATACCGTAACAGCTCTTGTAGTACTCTAGATTTTTCTTTTTCGTCGCGGCGCGTTATGGCCCTCGCATTAACCTAACAACGCGTATAATATTTCAGCATCATAGCCTCATACTTTTACAGGTAATCTTGACCCTTACTGTGATTGTAGACTCGGTTATTATCATAATGTCTGTATAAGGTATGATTTGAATCGCTGTCTCTGCTACGTTTGGATGAGGACTTGAGACGTACGTCAGTGGAAGCGGTGCTATTCCATCGTTAAAAATTACACCTGCAGAATGTCAAAATAACTTGTAAATAACAAAAATTCGACTATATCCCTAATTAAGGGCAAATAAGTTCAACAATTCACTAACACACTGATTAACAAAAAATGAGAAAGAATTTCTGCTAGTGTTATAATAATACTCACTCTGGTTCACCGCTTGCGCATTCTTATACGATAAAAGTATCACTTCAAATTTGGAACGCATTGCTTTCAAAATTACGGCTACTGTGTTTCTATAAAACTGTTAACCAACACTTTGGGTAACTGAAAATGTTACAGCAAAAATCTCAATTATAGAGAAAGTTTCAAATATATTTACGCTATTATTAACTATTATAACCCGACCAGTACTTAATGCTTTATTTGCATGCGGATTTCTTATAATAGTTTCGAGGCATTTCCTACCCAGGTTGAGTATTTCCGTGGATTTGTCATAAAAGTCACGGATATCCTTGTTGCAAATCATACAATCTAACTTCCTTAGGTTACTTAGAGATTTTTCGCCCTAAGTTATCAAAATAAAGTAATCAGTTAATTTCCAGAATATCACAATGCTATTCTGTATGCTCCCGACTAATACCTCTACAAGTAACTTTCGTTGTTGATGCACCGTTTTTTGATGCCCATCTGCAGAAAAACTATTTTTCATCATTTCCTCTGCTGATAAAGCCTCAGAGCGCAACATATTTAAAATCATGAGATAAGTCAAACGGAATTGAGACTCCAACTTTGCGGCACCTCCGAGGACAACATTCTTAACTTCAACATCTATATCCTACAGTGACAATTTGATGATAAACAGAATTAACGATGAGTTTTAGATAAATTGGTATTAACAATTAACTGCATGTTAGTTCATACCATAAGCTCTTGAGGGGGACAAGCTATAATAACAATACCAGTACGATCATGATGAAGACGACCAGCCCTCCCAGACATTTGTGTATATTCACCTAACATAAACCGAAATATTAATAGAATATTCAATTCTAATTAAATACCCTTGATACCAACAAACCAGGCTTCAATACGCGGTACTTCTCGCCGTCATTTTTTTTAAGACCCAAGAATACAACAGTTTTAGCAGGCATGTTTACACCCTATTTAAAAATATAATTCGTTCAGACATAGCACGCAACCGAACAATGGTTAATATATATATACCAACCATCGCAAATGTCTCGGTTGCAAATAAAACTTTAAGGAGGTTCTCCTTAAATAGCATTTCAACAAGCTGAGAACGGCATACAATAAATAGTTGGTCAAATCGTTAAATTGCAACACATGTAACTAATAATTAATTCGTCTTCTGACCTCTTTCATAATCGGAAGGTATCCACTATGATGAACCCCTATGCCTTTACTCAACAACTGCTTCATCTGGACGATTTGAGGCAATTTTCGATCCCGCTCTATATCAACGTTTAATATGCTTATAACGTATATCATAACACACAAAGTTCATGCAACATCTCAAATACCAACTTTTTAGGTTCTTCAATGCATTGTCAAATTCATCGCATATTGTCTTCTTCGCTTTGTCGGAAACACCGAATAGATTTCTCATGGCCGAAATTCTCGCGTACTGATTACATTTCTTCTTTGAAAAAGAAAAGCAAATGACTGGAAATAGATCTCCGCCCTCAAGTAGTTTGAACAAACGATCGATTCCCACAAATTCATTCTGTTTCATCGAAAGAAAGAAACGCGATTCAGTAACCTTCTGGAATTAGCGTACAAGATGAAGGCGAGCTTACTGTGTTCTTGCGATTGGAACCACCGCGATTGGAACCACCGCGATTGAAGCCACCGCGATTGAAACCACCGCGATTTGCCATTCGTGGATTTGACCGTCCTTGCTTAGCTCCCGTCTTGGTTCCCGTTTTGGCACCCGTTTTGGCACCCATCTTTGCCTCTGTCTTAGGGTTAGTAATTGCTGAATAGCCAGATGACCATCTGAAGACATTAATTGAGTTATTTATTGTACGATAGATTCGCCCAACTTTTTTTAAAAATTATTCGCGGTATTCAGATTGTTAGCACCAACGTACCCTTGGGGTAGCCAATTCTTCTTTTCATCTACAATTTTATGTAGCTCCCCGTCACCGTATAAAAAGTGTTCTAATGGCACCGGACGTTTCAAAGTTTTGATAACATATATGTCTTTCTCTTTAGTTCGCCTAAAATCATAAAGATGAGATAGGCTCAGTGAAATCAAGTGGTCAAGAGGAAACCGTAGACTACTTACCCAATCCAGCCAGCCAATTCCATTTCATTCGATACGGTTGCCGACAGAAAAATGAGATTTACATTAGCCGGAAGCAAATGGATAGCTTCTTCCCAAACCACACCACGCTTAGGAATACAGAACGATTGAATCAAACAAATTCATTTACAACAATCTCAAAATGATGGCATAGTCGTACATACCTCCTTGTTTTCCATGTAATGAATTTCGTCGAATATGACAAATTCAACGTCTCTGATCAAAGACGCTTGTTTATACAGCATAGACCTCAGAATCTCTGTCGTCACGACGAGACATGATGCTTCGGGTTTAATCTGAACATCACCAGTCAATATACCAACATCTCCAAACTCGTCTTTGAAGTCTCGGTATTTCTGGTTCGACAATGCTTTGATTGGTGATGTATAGATAGTGCTGTAAGCATGCAAGTGTGGGGAATAAGATAAAAGTTAAAAAAAACTAGTAAGCACAAGTAAATTTGTCGTATACTCTTACACGTACAAGAATATCAAACCGTGTCATATGCTTCATCGCCAAAAAAATGGCATGTTCCGCAATAACAGTCTTTCCAGATGACGTATGTGCGGCAACAAACACTGAATCACCACGTTCCAAAAAATAAATAGCTTGTTTCTGGAAATTGTATAATTCGAAAGGATACTAAAATGCAAAAGAATACATAAATTAAATTAATTAAAATGAACACACGGAAAAGCACAATAAATATTCTACGACATTCCAACTTGCCTCCCTCGCTGGCTCAAAGTCAGAAACTTCCATGTCGGGATCCACCTTATGCGCCCAATCACGTCCCTTAGAAAGTTTGACGGGTTTTTTAATTTTTACGGTGCCTCCCATAAGCGGCTACAGATTTAGATAATGTTAGAGATAAGGTCAAGAGTTGGCGGCAATCAAAGAAGGTTCTGAAAGTCATCAGACCTCAGATGGAAGTAATTGATCGATAGCATTTTCAAGTTCATCTTGCGAAAGCGATGAATTATTCTGTTCTTCGTCAAAAGTATCTGTACTTGTTGCCTACAATAGGAAAACACAGGCCAATTTTAGACGGCAAGTATAGACTTAATACAACAATTTTCAATGATGGCACCTCAAGTGGCTTTGCGTCTTCTTCCGGTTCTAACAACTCAATGATATCTTCCTCTTGCGTTAACATCTCTGTAATGTTTAAGCTGGTGGCAGCACTCGCCGATATCGTCCGCGTGTGTTTCTCATCTAAATTAACCATACAGTGTAAATCAAATCAAGTTTTACATATTCTCTTAAATTAATTACTAGACTTACCCTCAAAAATCAAGCCACGCTCAAAATCTGGAGGCACCGTTAATAATCCATCTGTGAAACCAAATGATAATCGAAAGAGTTTACTGTACCGATAGCTTGCATCACGTGAGCACGCGTACCGAACGAAGACTTTTAATGCTTGACGAATACGTCACGTTACTTGCTTACCTTCGAGCAAGCTATGTTCCAATTCTGCCTCGGCCATGGCCTCAGGCATTAATCCACCTGTAATCAACAAGTAAAGTAGATTGTTATTGCCTCGATCGAGTGCTATCATACATTAATTATATCAAAGCCGGCATAATAATGACTTACTCCTGACAAAACTATCTAAATCACCAGGCTCCCGAAGCATAGACGCAGCCGTGAGTGGATCCGTCAATGAAACCTATTAATTCACATAGCTCGATTACTCAAAGCTCAGTTCATTGAGACAATTAAGGCTGACGTTTACCTCTTCATAACCGGTTACTTGTCCACTAATAACATCGCGCGTTATTTCCAAAGTTTTCCGCGCTTCGGTTGGCTCGAGAGTGATCAATGAGAGATAATCAGAACCACGTTCCCAATGTCTTTCCAATAACGGACAAGTCATAAGATATGAGAATAAGAGATTTCCTTTCGCAATATTTTATACATACTGCTGACATTCAGACAACCAAGGAGTCGGGAATGTTGTGCTCGGAGTCAAATATCGCTTTTCAATCTCTCGTTTTACATCTTCAGGCGATATAGGTTCCATTAGACCTGGAGGTAACTAATGAAGAGAAGCAAAAACTCTCTAATTATATTATTGTCCCTGCCAAACGAATGCAAAAAATTTATACCACGAATAGCAGTGCTTACTTCGAGGACCAGTTCGTCCGCAGGTTGCTCTCGACCGAATTCGTGATTGTTTAGTAATTGGAATACAGAGTTCCATACTAATGTACTCGTATCTGATATGCGATATGAATGAATTGTTTTATTATTACTTTTATGCAGGACGGTTTAAGCGCTTACCAGCTGCCGTCGTCTCGTGATTCATAGTCGTGCGGATTCAGCAACTGCTCACATTCTCGCTGCCCACATTTAATATTAATGGTTGTGGTTACACTGATCCATATCTGAAATCTGTCGAAATCTGCTGCCGATGACGTTATATTTTACGCGTCTGAAGATTACCGCTTTTTGGGTTATTATTACAAGTGCCTCTGGTTATAACGACAGCTGAATAAACGACAATTCCTCAACAACGACTTTCTTTTTTTTTTTTTTTGAAAACCGAAGACTTTCAAAATTTGGCTGGATATACCGACAATCATAAGAAAGTTCGATACAACGACATATTAGGATAATCAGGAAAGTTGTAAAATCGTACAGCCCATAATATTTCCTTTTCTAGAATTGATCATCTCATAGTATTTCCTTCTTTATTGTTAGATTGTGACACTGTTTTAGTTAACTTGTACTTTCGTTTCATAAACAAACAAAATTGGATTCATTTTTTCGTTCGTGAATAAGCAATCGTGTATGTGTTGCTGGCTAAATTACTCGTAAATGTTTATATGTTATACATATTGCAATGTCAATGTTCCAACGACACTTTTTTCATTGTCGTTATAACTAGAGGCAAATGCCGATCCAAGGAAAGCGATTTTTCCGAAAGAAGGCTGAATAATTTGATATACAAAAAAGTTCCGAAAAAGTTAAGGAAACTGCTCTGACACTGTGTTTAAGGCTAGTTTTTCATTTGATTCCTTTTTGGATGCAGGATGGCTGGTGGGCAGAAGAAATAATTTACACGACTAGGAGTGTCGAGCGTTCAGTAATTGGCCTTGGAGTTAAGCTCTTTCAATCGAAGCTTGGCAAACCTCTACTTCTGCTTAATCGCTAATACAGTTAGTGACAGTATTTCTGGCTTTAATTATACTCACGGTTCTCCAAATAACCGGTCGGTATAATAATAACGCAAGTTCTCGATTGTTAATTACTCCGCAGATATTCTTCTACCCTAAATAGGTGAGATTGGTTCCGATAGTCCGTAAACTTCAACAGAGGATTGTAATACACCAAAAGAAACGCGTCTGTTAACAATAATCAACAACATGCGAAATAAACGTTCTGAACTTTCAATGTTTTACGTAAGTGAATACGGTTTTGGGGATTAGACGGAGTTTACGCTGTCGGCATTTGCATTATCAACACTTCGTGAGGGTGATGCAAGTCTGTATGGCTCGGAAGAGTGAGCGCATTACGTAAACCAGACAAAGGCCAAAATAAAAAGCCTCGGCTAATGCTCATCGTTGATTGTCGATGGATCGTCAATACAATCGTATAATATGTATAATTATCCAAGGGTTAATAGCAAAAATAAGGCATTTGTTGCTGTATTAGGAAGATGTAGTAAGTCTTGGCCATCTGCTTGTCAATCATATTTGTCAATTACAAGAATTGATAGATAAGGTCGATTCTACCTACGATTCCGGAACCCGCAGTTTTATGGCTGCAGAATCAGGATAATTAATATCCAATATGTATCGTCTATTATATGGATTATAAGCTAATAAATGAAGGACTTTTCTACGACAGTTCCCAAAACTACAATGGAATAGGAGATACAGGAGCAACAGCTTTGGCAAGGGCTCTGAATTAATTTCTGCTTGACATCTCTAAACCTGGATGGCAATAAAATAGGGAAACTAAACAGAAATAACATCTTTAGCATCAAATTTTGTTTGACATAAAAATTACACCAATTTTGTCGATCAATTAGTAAAACATGAAATTTTCTTTTTTTCGAACATCTCTCATACTATGTAAGTTAACATCAATACCCACTTTATCGAACTGCAGCCCTAATACTAAAACGATAACGGAACTGAATATATCATTAATTCGCTTCAAACGTATAAAAATTGTTGTAACTTACATAGTACGTACAGACAATAGAGATGCTCGAAAAAAAGAATATGTCATGTCATATGTTTTCACCAATACTTTTGGTAAGTCACAAGAGTTACAGAACTACAGCCTTCTTGAATCAAGCTGGTAATAAAATATGGAGTTACATGGAGTGACAGCTTTGGCAAAGGTTTGCAATCAAATTCTTGTTTAGTATCTCCAGATTAAATAGTAATAGAATAGGAGATGCGGCACTATTTTTGCAGAACATAAGATATTTAAACTTTCTTAATGATACTACAGCGAGTCTAAAATGTTCTCAGTCCCAAGCATGAGACTTAATAAATATATGCAATGTTTATTTTATGGAAGTCTCATATGTTTTTCCTATATTATAATTAATATTAATACAGTTACATATTAATAATGACCGTGTAACAGGAATATTTCTATAAATGAGTTCGAACAAGAGTTAAAGATGTTGTGTCAACATTATTACTTGTATCAAAACGGGGAGAGTCTTTCCGTCGGCTCGTAACGGGTTTCACTATGTGCGTATGGAAGAGGCATCCATGGTCCAATGAATATACATATTAATATGGTTGGATACAGCAAAACGATTTATCGTCTAACTCTGATATCGTTTAGGGATATCGTTAGCCTATGACAATGTTATGATTTATAAGTTACTTGCAACTAGATTATGTCGACGCCCAGCGAAGAGTTAGTACCTTAACTGCTGAACTGAGAAAGGTTATAAAGAGTTCGACATGACGCCAAGCGAAATGTTAATACGCGTTAGGTTATGCTTCCCTGAATCTTAGAAGGAATACGTAGAGTCTGGAATATTCGTCTAGACCTGTGGTTATTGTAGCAAGTCATATGCGTAGTGGCTAATATAATTATGATTCGTATCGTTAATCACGCAGGCCCATAATACATAATGAAGCGATGATGAGAGAACCTTTATGTTTAACCCATCGCGTTCATATTGTTTAATAGTACACAAATTGTAAATTGCAATTCATCAATATTAATATAGCAGATTGATAAGCAAAAATTCGAATATGCCTGTGATAATTTGTCAATTGGATTAAGGCTAAATAGAACGCAACTATTCATAAATCAACTGTCTCGCAAATGTTAACAACGACTAAGTGCAGGTGTTGATAGTCTGATGCAAAACGTCACAAATCCGTTAAGTTTTCAGAAATTGAGTTTGCACTTAAAGAATTTGTTCTAATCGAACCATTTTGAGTAATGCAAGGATTAAAAATCAATTACAATTTCCTCTGGTTGGCATTTATGGATTCAAAGAACAAAATGGACAGTGAAGCTAGCTCGGCTAATTAAGATATTACTATTGAGAAAATATTTTAGTCGTTCGTTGTTACAAGAACTTATCCTTTACAATAATTAGCTTCAGAATACCTGCGCCGTCTATACCTAACGTCACCGTAGTACAAGGTTAATCAATCATAAATTTTAGTACACAGTCAAAGTCGATATAACGGACTCTCGATATAACGGACACTAAGTAAAATCTCAATATACCGGATTGACGTTGAGAACGGGTTATAGTATTTTATCCGCTATACCGAATTTCTTCGTTATAACGGATTTTTGAAAATTTTTATTAATGGAACCGACTAGTCCGTTATATCGACTTTCACTGTGTATTAGCGAATATTAATATTTAGTTATTAGGCTGAGGACCATGTTGATTTTTATTTTTCGCTAAGTTTTCTCCATCCGGCAATAAACATAGTACCGGAATTTGTACACCTTCAGCAATATAGGTCATGGGAACAAGTATCTGGGAAGAAAATTATTATTATTTTGTATGAGCAGCAGAATTTGTTCTGTCTCAATTTATTCAATGTCCTTTTTTTATCCGTGTAAAAGAGACAGAGATGAGAAGTATAGAAAAAAAAAAGATATAAAGAGAAGATAAAAATGTTACTTTCGCTGGCACAATTCACCTTTTACAACTCGACTGTACAAAGAAAATCTATAGAAAAATTTACAAGAAGAGGGGAGGAAAGAAAGAAGAGATAACAGCATATAACCTCTAAAATTGTTGCACGTTGATATATCACTTGCTCCTGGATGAGATTCCAAAATACATCCCATGATCCTGTCGTCACTTACACAATCACAATTTGAATAGACAGGACTCCCCCACTTTGGTTCTAGATACATGAAATCTATTCTCTCCTATTCTATCCCACGCAATTCTCTATTATTCACCAAGTACACCACGTCCGATTCTTACCGACATATACACAACATATACAATTCATACATTCTATTCAAAACCCGTTTTAGCCTCGGTTCTTTCCTCACACATCCTGAACGAATTTATCATATATACCATTACAATACCACCACACTAGTCCCCATCGTCTCTGTTGTAACTTTCAATCACCAAAAAAATCCCCATATCATTTCCACTCGATCACATGCTTCTCCCAAATACTTCTCTGGCAGCACCCGCAGGAATAGCCATTGGCTGTGGCACAACCGCAGCACCACCAGCAGCGGCTTTTTCCAATCCAGTTGTCATCCCGGTCAACGCACTCATCATAACGTTGGCAACCGCTGTACTCGTATTATTGTTTCCGTTGCCGCCACCCGATGACGTAAGCATTCCTGTAGCAGTGTCCCACAACGCAGTAGATACAACTATTGACGATGCGTTACTTGGAGGAGTAGAAGACACTGGGTCTGGTTGAACAGTAGTCGAGGTGGGTGTAGAGGCTGAAGATGATAAAAGAGATGCTTTGGTCGGTGAGGTGGATGGTTCAACCGCTGTAGTCGACGACGCGGATGAATGGACTCCCACGCTGGACAAGGTGCTTGATGTGCTGGTCGTTGACGAGACCGAAGGATTGCTGGAATGATGGACATACGTTGTATTCGACGTATTTGTTGAATTCATGCTGCCTAGACCACTTCCAATGGTTCCTGGATGATTATGATAGTGGCTATTGGAATGCAATTGCTGCTGTTGCTGCTGCTGTTGATGATGATGGTGATGCACCGCCATTGCATGAGTCAAGTGATGAGCGTGATGGTATCCAGCTGGAAGTACTGGTCGATGATGGTGGTGATGATGTGCCGCTGGATGGAAAAATACTGGAC